AGACGCTGATCAGATTTGTCATAGCCAAAATTTTTTTCCCAGTCTGTAGGTTGTCTTTTGACTCTTTTGGTGAAGTCTTTTGATGAGCATAAGTATTGGATTTTTAGAAGCTCCCATTTGTCAAGTCTCTCTTCTGGTGCTTGTGCGTTGTTACTTATGGTTCGTATTGTGTTTATGCCATGTATTAGGGCTCCTAGCATTGTCTCTGTTTTTTCTTCCATGGTCTTTATCAGTTTTGTTTTGATATTTAAGTCTTGATCCATTTTGAGTTAGTTTTTGTGCATGGTGTGAGGTATGGGTCTTGTTTCAGTTTCTTGCGGATGGATATCAAGTTATGCCAGCACTATTTGTTAAAGAGACTGTCTTTTCCCCAGTTAACGGACTTTGGGCCTTTGTCAAATATCAGCTGTTCATAGGTGGATGAATTTATGTCTGGACTCTCAATTCTGTTCCTTTGGTCTATATAGCTGTTGTTGTACCAGTACCAGGCTGTTTTGACTACCGTGGCTGTATAATAGGTTCTTAAAGTCAGGTAGTATGAGGCCTCCCACTTTGTTCTTCTTGAGTAATGCTTTACTTATTCCGGGCCTCTTCCCTTTCCATGTGAAGTTGGTGATTTGTTTCTCCATTTCATTAAAAAATGCCGTTGGAATTGGGATCGGGATTGTATTGTATCTGTAGATTGTTGTGGGTAGAACTGACATTTTCACAATGTTGAGTCTTCCTATCCATGAACAAGGTATGTTTTTCCACTTATGCAGGTCTCTTTAGGTTTCTTGCAGTAGTGTCTTGTAGTTTTCACTGTATAGTTCTTTTACGTCTCTGGTTAGATTTATTCCTAAGTATTTTATCTTCTTGGTGGCTAGTATAAATGGTATTGATTTGGTGATTTACTCTTCTGGGTTCTCTTTGTTGGTGTAAAGGAATCCAACTGAATTTTGTATGTGTATCTTGTATCCTGAAACTTTGCTGAAATCTTCTATTAGTTCCAGTAGTGTTCTTGTGGATTCTTTGGGGTTTTCTGTGTATAAGATCATATCATCTGCAAATAGAGATACTTTGACTTCTTCC